TTTTTATTACTGTATTACAGTATTATTATTTTCATCATCATCTTCATCATCATCATCTTAAATACAAATCAAGTGAGGCCATTATTACTCAACATTTTGACTTTATTAAGTCATTATCAGGGATGCACCATCACAGACCCAATAGACAAATTTTCATATATAGGGTCTGTGGTACCATTAACAGAAATACTGGCAATAAGTGCTTCATAAAGTAATTACAGATTTTATGAATAAGCTACAAGTGTTTTTAAAAAAAAAATCATTTTTAATGATTTCTTTTTATATCCAATTTACATATTTCAATGTAGTTTGTTATAAACGGTTATATTCTTATTATTTAATCTGGACTACAATGAAAACCTATGCCCTTTAAATGTGCCTCCCAGTATATAGTTAAAAAGAATATTAAATAATGAAGAAATCTGAAATCGATGCATGAATCTAGTATTGATAGTTCCATACATCTCAAAAAAAGAGTTAAACAATTTTCATTAAAAATGTATTGTCCCATGCAAAATACTAATAAAATCATAAAAATCATTTTCGAAATTAACTTGCGCATTTTGTAACATAAAAATTATCAACTTTAACATAGAAATTAGTGTATTTAAGAAATGTTTACTCATCTTTTTACAGTGAAACACATTTTATTTTAAAATTTTTTTTATGATTTTTTTTTTGTCATTTCCAATACATCTTCAAAATATTCATTTTTAAAGTTTGAAAAATTTAAAATCTCAAAGATAACACAATGACCTCTTCACATCATCCTCTTCATCTACAACAACCAAGGATTTCAAGAACTTTTTTTTGAAGTGACTCCTCAACAATGAGAAGAATTGTACTTATAATGAGACCCTGGGCCAGCTTAAGGCTGGCCTGGATGTAGTTGGTCCAGGATAACTCATGTGTTTACACTTTTGGCACTCCAAAACTTGTATCTTCCACAGTAAGTGGATGATAGAATAGGTAAACTGTTGGAAAATATCCAGTGGTGGATCCAGGGGGTTTCAGAAGAGGTTAGAAATGAAAATTCTTTCAACTTGGGTTTTTTTGGAAAAAATTTGAACCCCCTCTTTCAAATCTTGGATCCACTTCTGATAACCATAAGCCATTGTGTGACTCTGTACTCAAGTATGGGGTAGGAGCGGACTATGATTCATGTAGCTCTTAGATCAGTAATTAGACAAGGGGTGCTGAGAAATAGGAGTGCTCCCGTTACAACAATACGGGCTATGAGAGACTATTCAATACCACTTCCAAGAACTGTGCATATTAATATGGATGCTTTATAATACTATTGTTCATTTACTGTTAATTAACTCAATTTATCTTTTTTTTAAACTATACAATACCCTGAAGCGCAATTAAAAATGTTTTTCAAACATTAATATTTGAAAAATTAAAATATCAGTGGAACTTTAAATATATAAGGTAAATATTTAATTCACCTTCAATGTCCTAAATCTTTCCAAAATAGTTGGTTCTTTGATATGATTTGATTAGGCATATTATTGCACACTGAGCATCTGATCACTTTAAAATACTGTATCTTCAAGATTTCAGGGCCAGCTTTGGAATAGCAATTCAAGATAAAAGTGGAAATGTGATCACAAAGAGAGATATGGATAAAAATGTTTCATTTCAACATGCAAAATTAAATTTGTCAAGAGAATAGCTTTAGGAAGCTGTATCATTGTTTTCTGACTAAAAAACTTTTAAGAGCAAGAAAAAACAAAACAAAAATGGATACAGAATGATACTTATTTACAGGAAAAGGAATAGAAAGGAAATATGGATTTTTAATTGAGTTAATAAAGTTCGATATTTAAACACTTTCAGCTGTTCATAATTTGTCAAAAGGTAGCCAAAAATTCATCGCTCATTATCCCACAATTTGAAATATTAATTTGATTTCTCATACAACAACAAAAAATAGTTTAATTTGTCATGAATTTTTATTTTTCTTAAATTTAACCAAACATTGACACTTTTGGAAAGAATTAAGCAGCAGTCGAGTTAAATGTCACTTCATGTTTTTTTACAAAGTGGCTGTGCTTACTACACCAAGATGTAGTGCATTAAGGTAGCAAGAGATATTTATAAGGTAGGGTAAAGCCAAGTCAACCAATCAGCATGATGGGATTTTTAAGCATAGCCACAGCCTTTTTTTTAAATTTCGAAATTGTTTCCTTCCCACTCCCTCTGACTCGTATGCTTTCATGATTTTAAAATATTAGGTATAATACATAATTTTACTGTAGTCTTTCTACTATAGGCAAGAATAACAAATATTTTTAAAAATCCAAAAGATAATAACAGTTTAAAACTAAAAGAATATAGATTGGTATTTGTTTAAAATATTCTTTGAAGGTTGCATGGCGAAGCAACAATAATAATAAATGCTTGCAGTGCACCATGTAGATTGTTCTACGTGGTGTACCAGCGCCACAAGCATTTCATTTGTTCATTTATGTTTAAGAAAAAATAGCTAAAAGCGTACTACAATACTTTATTTCAGAAAAGCAGGGTGTGGGAGCAGGTTTTAGTTTCTCAGAACTCAAGGATAGCATCATGTTAGATTAATATCCAAAACGTGAGCTACATGAAATCAATACTACTAGCATCTCTATTTAGTTAATATTCAGTAATTAATCCTTTAATGGGTTTCACATTCATCATGAGTATTCCTATATGAAAGGCGCCCAATAGCAATATTAAGCTAATCATAATAATGTGTGGTACAGCGCTTTCCACAGAACTTCTCAAATTGCTTTACATTATTACTCTGGTGATTGGAAACATTCAGCAATGAAATGATTGTGTAACCTCCTCCGTTTTCTGGAACATGTTGAACATAATATAGACCATGCCAGATTTAATATGGAGAGCATAATGCCAACAAGGCCTTACATTATTAGCCCAATTATTGGCTCAAAATAACATATTCAGCTTAGCTCACACTGGGGAGAATTTCATAACATTACTGCTAGTAATGCTTAGTCAGTGTATTGGCGTTTAAGCCTATGATATACCCACTTAATATACTCTTGGGTGGAGAGAGCCAGCCATAAGTAAAGTACTTTGCCCAAGGACAAAAGCGAAATTTAAAGTGAAGGTACAAATATTAGTCCTCAAGGGTTTGGAGCCGAAATAGCAATCAGTGCGACAACCACTCGCACAAATATATTTAGACATAAATTACAGTATATTTTATGTTGTATTGTGGAAATAGACCTGTAGATAAATCATTTTTTCCCAAGGACATAAGCAATCCCAGCTTCAGATTTCAACCCCTGACCTTTGGTTGAGAGTTTGAACCCCCCAATGTTTAGTATGAGTGCTTATTGACTTTTGACATTTCCCTGAATATAAATAATATAGTGTAGGCTGGTATTAATTAAGCAGATACTATTTTCTAACTACTGGTGGCCACAGTGTGTGCACTCAAACATGAAGACCACTGTTCCTGGTTCGATTCCATTGTAATCAATGCTCCTTGTATTTCCACTAAGATGGCTGAAATTAAAGTTACTAGAAATGTGTTGCGTGTATGTAGGGTTGGGTGAAATGGGAGCTTATTCCTTTTGTCATTCAGAACAAGCTCCCCACCAGACACAACTTAACAAATTGAAAACAGTAAAAAAATCAGACCCATCCCATTCCTTGTCAGGCAAATCCTGGCGACACCACGTTGCATTACAAACTTAACGGAAAAAGAGATTAGGACTATGACAGAGTGTATCGTAGTGTACATATACTATCACTTCCACAAAAACCTCACTACCGGGATGAAAAAAAAAAACCATTAAAAATAGTAAATGTACAAGCTGATAAATCAATTGTTTTGTGTGATTGTCTTCTCAAAGATTTCCTTCCACCTCACTGGCAATAATAAATGTCCTTTTAGATCTTCCTGCTTTTCTTCCTTTCGAACACTATACCTCATGGCTATACTTAGTATCTTTCATTTGCTATCATACTGTTATTTTTATATGACCCTGTTTATTCAACTTTGTTAACCCATGACCATGACTTGTGGTAGCAGCAGTTAAATGGTGGTACTGCTTGTGGTGAAATTGGCAGTACACTGGAAGACACTCCCTTAAAACCAGGCTCCGGAGGGAAAAAAAGTTGTGATACTGTGTGTTGTACAACTGATTTTTTTAAAGATACAAAAAGAATATTTGACGAAAAACTCAGCAGTAACCACCCTTTTTTCCACCTTTTCCCCCAGTTTTTAAATATTAAAAATTCTATCTTATTAACTACTTCCGAGTTTTTTCCTCTAGAGCCTGACTTTAAGGTTTGTGCATTTGAGACTTTGTAATGCCCTATGCAAGTCGTCTGTCATTACCATACATTGCCCAAGCAATGTGCTATGTTATTTTTGCACATGACACATATGTAATAACTAAATTTCAAAGGTCTGCTGGTTTTTCACAGCTGAATAATTGAACCGCAAATGAAATATTCAATACTGTACTGTGCATAGCCAGAAGTTTGCATTACAGATTGATAAGATGCATCATTTTAACATCTATGGATTTAATTTGTACATTGATTAGTTTTACATCTTTCTTCTGTGATAAATGTAAAGATGGTTGTATGATTTGTATTTCATTCTATCTTTTATTGAATCAATCCAGATTGTTGTCTTCATACAGAATTAGAATCCAAATTCCATTGTCTTATTGGAATTGTGGAGGTTGTACAACAGCAATGAAAGAGTGTTGAAATTAATAAGAAATGTTATATTATTTTAAACATCCTTAAAGCTGCAAGTACTTTAATTAAGTTTGTTATTATTAATTCCTGGCCAATGTTCTTAAATAATGAATACAATAGAATAAGTATAATTTTTACAGCAGAAACATATATATTTCGGGTAACTCAGAATACTTGACCTGATTATTTTGCTATTTAATTGGCTTTTAAAGAAAACATTTAGATATTCAAATCATCAAATATTAATTTGTTTATATATTTATTGTTTACAGATACAAGCATGGCTCAAGGTCTTCCCATCATGCTCAGATAGATGTGGTTTCCATGAACAGTGTCAATGGTAAGCATTTAAAGCTGTTGACTCATATTTAATGATTTTTTAATATCAATTCCAACATGTGATCATGGAGTAGACCAGCGATGTAATTTTTCACAACGCTTCCAGAAAGTTTCCTGATTTTACCACAGTTTACTCATATCATACTGTAAAACCTCAAATTGAAGCCCTGGGCGGCTTCTTATCTGCCAACTTTGGATGGGCTTCTTTTTGAGGCTAATTTTGCATAGTAAAGAGAGGCGCTTCTTTTCAAATTGAATGCTGTAAGAATTACTACTATAAAACAATAAATAGGCCCACTGTAACATCAATCTGTATCCTGGAATGTATTAACTGGCATTAAATCACCTAAAATACTGTGTAAACCAAGCTTGTTTTAAATTTACTTTTTCTTTTTTTTTAAATTCATGTACAGTGTATGTACTGTACTGTGCTATCACAAAAAAAGCCCGTGCTATTTTGAAAGAAGCCCATGGGCTTCTGTTCGGGATGGGCTTCATTTCGGGGCTACTATTGCAAACTAAAAAGGAGGGATTCAATTTGAGATGGGCTTCTTCTTCATATTAAGCCCATTGAGCTTCTATTCGAGGTTTTACGGTATATCAAGAAGCATATATCCCCCTCCAGCCTATAAAATACAATAAATTATTTAAATTAAAAGTAATTTTATGTACTGAAATCAATGGAACTAAACTTTTTGAATTTAAGACATTTTCTTACCCTTAAGCTGCCATCTCAAACTTCTCATGGGCCCACTAATTATTTACACTCCATTGTCTAATATCTAATTGTATACCTCCATGAACTAACTGTGGTATTTTAAAATGCCTGGATTAAATAATTTAAACATGGATGACATGAATACATATAGTTGCTTTTTAGTATAACTGTACTGTAATTTGATTTTTCTAGGTAAATAAATTGTTTTTATATTATGCTAAATAAATTAAATAAATGCAAAATTAATGGAGTAACCACTGTCTGTAATAATAGATCATATTACTTTATTAAATCATCTACAGTCATGCAGACTTTATCTTTTCATTTTATTAACTTAATTACAGTATTATTGTATAGAGTATATATATATATGTATATATAATGAACTCAAACATACAGTTTTAATATATTATATATTTTTTAACTGATTTTAGTTACTGATTGGACTTTATTGATTGAACTTTATCATTTGAATATTATATTGTTATGGTTAATATAAAAAAAATAATAGGCCTACTGTAACTCATGTGCCTACCAATATCTTTTTTTTACCAGGTAATGGAGGACCTCAGAATGGTAGAGTTACAATACAGACATTCAACTCGAGTGACAGCGGCTTGGGTGAATTCAGCACTCACTTGCAAGTAGAGGGCGCTACACCAGATATCATAGCAAGCAATTCCACTTCTAATCCCTTGGATCTGGATGACTCTAGCTATACTGAGGTAGAAATCAACTTGTGTCCTTCTACAAGTACTTTCAATGAATACCAGTTCACCACCCCGCCGGCTTTACCAGCGCAAAACCCATGTCACATGCCCGTATGTAACGAAAAGGAAAGTAAGATCGATGATTTATACGATGAAGCTTATTCATCCATTGAAAAGGAGGAGAAAAAGGATGATTCTGATGGTTTCAACTGTTACGATTTTCTCGATGAGGCTCAAACATTACCTTCAGAGCCAGCTAAACCCAAACCGGTAGCGGAACATCAATACTATGTTTTAGAGCCAACTCCACCGGAAGATGAGGATGATTATGATAGTATTAGTGATGAGGAGACCGCTGTATGTTTGCCGGTCCCGAACAATTATGAGGACATAACAATTAACACAGCGGGTCCGTCACAAATCTACGAAGAGGTTAAAAGTCCATTAGTACGCCATCATACTTTAGATGTTATCGGTAAAAATAAGAGACATGTGTACGACCAACTTGGTCACAGTGCCAAAAGATGGAAGCGAATGGGTTCCGAGGGCAGCAGACTAGCTAAAAGTAATGGTGATTACGGACGACTGCAACAGGAGGTTAAAGATCAGGCTGGGTATAATGAGTTGGAATTTGGTCCAAGGAAGGTGCGTGTTGGGGAGACTGTCTTTCCGACTGGAAATTATTACGGCTCCCTCAGCAGGTGATCTAATCTTAAGCATAACCATTTTTATCTCCTTGATGTAGTTTGTATATATATTGAAACATATTTATGAATATTATTAGCTATGTATAAATTTTGGAACTTTACATTTTACAACCAAAACATGTTTTTTTAATGTATGAAAATAAATTCCATTATTTAATGTTGTGTGTAATGCAACATCAATTAAGATATAAGATATGTGTATAAAAGAAATATACAGTACATTGAATGCAAATAATGCTTAAGATTCCATATGATATATTGTATAATTGTGTCTAGAAGTGCAAGACAATCATTATTAAAGTACATAAATGTGTATAACTTACAAATGACTTAAGTTTTCTCATTTCATGAAATTTAGTAGATTATATAATAACACAGGCATCATCAAAAGTAATTAAATAATTATATTACATTTAATAAAATTATTACAATGATGATGGTGATACAGTGCTCAATAGAGTGGTGGTAGTACAGTAATGACATTAATGGTGGTGATAATGGTGATGTTGGTGCAGGGGCTGTACTAGCGGGGGAGCGGGGGTCCAGGGAGCAAAGGACCCCTGGTCGGGGACCTCTGAAGCTCCGTTTGGACCCCCTTTCGGGGAATTTTCAGCAAGGACGTTAGGGAAAAAATTGAATCTCGAGCATCGAAAGTACAATATTTGAAGCATGTCTTACTAAGCTGTCAAAATTTGAGGGGTATAAAACTGTTTAGTGCGAGCAGTGCTACCGTATGGCGAGGTGTTGTATACTATTGCGATTGTATGGGTTGCAGTGGTGTGCTAGCTCTTCCCCGACAGTGGCTGGTACCTCGACAATGATGATTATGATAGTATTAAAGAATCCCATAATTAACACAAAATGTTATTATCTTTAAACAGAGGTGGCGCCAGGATTTGCCCGACTGGGGGGGGGGGGGACGGGGGGGGGGGTCCCCGACAGCACATTATTCCGGGTAGGGCCTATACCATAACTTAGACTATTATTTTATCTTTATCTTTATTTTATCTGTATTATTTTCTTATGATGTGCATATTTTTTTAAATTATTGATTGTCAATGAATACAGTAAACTATTCTGTATGACGTCACGTTTTAGTAGGTCCCTGAACTCACTATGGACCTATCACGCTTAAGCTTACCGGTACTTCACCGGCAGATACCAAGCTCTGCAAAAGATGGCGATATTCACAAAAGCAACCTTTATCTTAATGCTAATATTAGTTTTATCTGCTTACTGGATGTATGATGGTTTTGATGAAGGTAAACTTGTTTAATTTCAGTAGGACTTACTCTATTGACTAAGTTGTTCCATGATTCGTGTTGCCTTTGTTGACACACAATAGAACTTGCCATTGAGTCATGGCCTCCACTTGACTCGTGAGCCCGCAAGTGCTTAAGCCCACTGGCTTGTCAGTTAAGCCGGCTAAGTATAGGCCTAGCCTATATGGACCTGCTACTGGATTTACCCTCTTGTCTCTTACATTATGTAAAGTCGCTTTGAGGATCCGGTAGGCGGTGGACTCGGTGGCAAGAGCAGAGTTTCACCCCTATGGTATCAGTGCCGAAAATTTGCTTAAAAGATGTAGTTGTTTGTGTTGTACTATCAAGGAGGTATAAAATATTTAATTATACCTCCTTAGTAGGCCTACTATACAGTAAAAAAATAGGAAATACTGTGACCTCAAAAATTCAAATAAAATTTTGAATAGCTCATTTGAAAGATCAAATAAATTATATAGCTTCAAACAAGAAAACAGATTGAAAAAACTAGTTTTTACTGTTTTAAAGACCTACCTTACTTTCCTACCTAAAAGTCAACTGATTACCAGGATCTATGCAAAAGAATGCAAAAAAGCTATTACTTAACTTAATCGACGAGTGTAGAAGGGATCTAGGCCCCTCAGCCTCACCACCACACTCGATGATGACGGCACGGTATGAGTTGCATGAGATTATTGCGAGCAAGATGAGCCCATGACGGGAACATACAACCACCAAAGGCTGGGGCGGATGCAGGATTTGGTGGTAGGGGGTGCGTGAGAGTCAATCCACACCACCAGGTTAGAAAATGTTGAGAATAAGTACCTCTAGGTGGCCCGAAATTGCACTCTCATACCTTAAAGCACTCTCATACCTTAAATATCTTTAAATGGTTAATACAATTTAGGGGGATATGCGATCGCACCGTCTACACCCCTCCCTGCATTCACCCCAGAAAGGGCCTTCAGTCGGAGTGCAGGTATGAAGGCCCAGCAAAATATATATAGGGCTGCCTACACTGAGTTTGATATGAGGGATAAATTTGAGTGGTTTTTTTTTTTATATGTAATCTTTTATAATTCCTGTGTAGCAAAACAAGTAATTGTGCAGGTAGCAACTGATGGCTTATCAACAGGACATTTTGTTGAACTAAATGTTCTGGTTCAACAACCTTTAAAAAACGTGACTGCTGATATTTCAGTTGCTTTAGAACTAGATTTTCAAAAAACGTTTTTGTAGTGCATATGATCATACCATGATGCCTAGATGTAAATACTTGAAGAAATTGAAATTAAATACAGTAGAACCCCTCCTTTGGGACACCCCTATTATTAAGGGGACACATTTTTTACCATATAACAAGGGGAAGTATATGTTTTAACACTATGGCCAACCCCTATTTTGGGGACACCCCTATTTTGGGGACACTTTTTTTGGTCCCAATGGTGTCTGCTGAATAGGGCTTCTACTGTACATTCAAAAAGTACATAGATATGGCTTCTGAAATGTATTCATGGTGCTGGACAAGTTTTTAAAGAAACTTCCCTAACAATACAGAAAAATTTGAACAATATATTTTTCAATTATTATTTTTAAAATTATTATTCATTTTGTAAGTGCATTGTGCTGTTGAGACCATAAACGGTTAGTAGAACACTCTCATTTATTTTTGCTTTAAATATGTTAGGATAAAATAACTTAAAACTTCTAGTAAAAACCCTGGAGCACTATTCTTTTGTCTTTTTTAGGGTGGGTTACAATTATTCAATTGAGAATAATTTAAGCATTGCATTATTATATTTCAGTTATATTTCTTAAAGGTGTTATACACTTCATTACTAAAAAAAAATTACATAGAGAGTAGAAAATTTTAAAAATTAAAATAAAAACCACCTGTAAGGCAAAATGTTGATTTGATTGTGATTTGTAGGCCTATACAGTATAATTTTGTATGAAATTTTTGCATTCCATAACGCCAGTGAATTACTATAGAGTAGTGGGACTTTATTATAGAATACTGTAACCGCTTGGTTACTATTAGAGCTTAGGTTTACTGATAGAGTACTGAGTTTCTGATCAAAGTTTATGGTATGATTTTATTGTCTGTTTTTCCACTAAAACGTCTGCATTTTAGATTCTGTTAAAGGAAAACAAGTTGTTATAACAGGAGCAAGCGGTGGCATCGGTGAGCAGATTGCCTATCACTTTGCACGCCTTGGAGCCAAAGTACTACTGACTGCACGAAGAGAAGCAGTCCTAAAAAAGGTAACATTCATTCAAGCACTGTAAGCCTGTTTTTCATTTTAATTTATTTTATTTTCACATATTTCAACACAGTGGTGTACTAAGGAGGTTCATGCTCCCATACTGGAAAAGTTCAAAGCTCTAATTAAAGTCTCCTCCTGTTAAATCGCACCTCTAATTAAGACCACCTTCAATTAAGGACCACTTTTCTGTGGTCCCAAATTAAAAATGTCTTTTTTATTCTAATTAGAGACCAAAGCTTCTAAAAGACCATAGAAACTATAGTCCCAAAAGTGGTCTTTAATTGGAGGGAGACCCTTATTTATAAATCACCTTATTTTGGGAGCTACAGTAGCACCTCCTCACTTAATCAACAAACTCCACTTCTTCACCTTCATTTTCCCCTCCCTGATTTCAAGACGGCACCAACGCACATCCGTTTTTTTGCCGAGTCACTCCAAAGCATAACTGGTGTGGCAACCACTACTACGATAACCATGTTCATTCACTATTGATTCACAGGTGGTTGAAAAGTGTAAGGAACTTGGAGCAGAAGAAGCATTCTATATACCTCTTGATATGGGCAATCTGGACCACACAAAACGCCTTATACAGGAAGCTAAGACTAAGTTTGGGGGCTTAGACTACCTCATTCTAAACCATATAACTACCAGCCACTTGGAGTTGTGGAAAGGTGACATGGAAAGATTAGAACAAATTATGAATGTAAATTTTAGAGCATACGTCAGTCTAGCAACTGAAGCTCTACCAATGCTTGAAGCAAGTAAGGGGTCTATTGGAGTGGTTTCATCATTTGCAGGTATTTTTAACGATTTTTAATTTCTGGTAAAACCAAAAAAAATTACCACAATATTATTAGCATTCTGTAAGAGATTGATAATTACTAATCAAAAGTTATGTTCAGGCGGTCTTTAGTCTGAAGGAAGATTATGACAAAAATGTATGCGCACATTACTTTCAACGAGTGTCCACATGATGCTTGCCCAAGGCATAATGGTCTTTTTACTTCAGAGCTAGTTCAAAGCTTAGAAGTAACTATGCAAATTTTCTGGAAGTGATAATCGCAAATTCCGTGGTCGCTCACGGTTATTTTGCACACAAATTCTTGAAATTGTAAACAATTATGAAAACATTGTGTAAAAAGGTTTACGCATGACAGGAAATGTTATTTTAGCACGCATTTGTAGGTAATTATCTTTTGAAAAATCAAGGTCATAATAAACTCATTTTTTTTTAGCTCTTACGCAAGTGCATCTACACTGCTCTACTGTGAGCGTGTATTCCTAACATTCCTTGTGTATGCGGAAGTAATACACTTACTCCTGCGACTGCTCAGGAGTAAATTGGCTGTAGTAACAAATACAAACCTTAACACAAAGTAAGCTTAATACAAAGAGCGACTTCACAGGCACTACCCAGGGCTTTCGACAAGTAGACTGCTACTGCAAAGCTTACTTCTAACTCGTCTGATCGTTTTTATTTAAATATTAAGCATCTGGTTCTCAAATTATGGTTCACAACCAAAATTTAGGCCTTCCATACTTTTCTGAGGAAACAAAACTTCGGAAAAGTTTGTCAAAACTTTGGCAAGTTATACAAATTTCAACCCACCAGAACTTTTTAAAGTTCTGTTTTATATTTTATTTACTCTTATCCTTTAAATTCTGCCTATCAGTATTTTTGTGAATTTAAAATATAACTGTGATATATGACATCATTGTGCCCATATTTATCACTTGTTAATATAGACATCTGAGCCATAAAGTTTAGAAAATCATTTCTTTCCTTTACATTGATTAGGTAAAGTTGGTGTACCATATACAGCACCATACTGTGCCTCTAAGTTTGCGCTTGATGGCTTTTTTGGTGCACTTCGACAGGAGCTGATATTCAAAAACAAAGACGTATCCATTACACTTTGTATTCTTGGTAAGTT